GGCGGCCGTTCCCCTATCCGCGACCTGGGGACGCGCTCGGTAGCATACAGCTCTGCTCTGTTTGAAAAATACGTTGTTCAATATGATGGTTAGGTCTTATTGAGTTTTCTATAATCACATCTATGCTCATTTTATAAACCACTCACCCCCCCCCCACCTAACTCAATAAAAATATATTTGGCTGCGGTGGAGCAACATCGTCCAGTAGATGAATCACACCACGATATGGCAGCAGTTTTCCTGAGTAACTAATAGTCGCACATATATATATATACATAATGCAACCTGTTGAACCAAGAAAAAGGAGTTAAAAATGATGTTTATGCTATATCAATGCATTATGGTAAAAAGTTTAACCTGTTGGCATCAAATGCCCTTGGACAAAAACGACTTGTTGAAAAAATGGATTTGGTATTGATTTTATGGGTAATTTACCATGTTTTTGAATACGGAGCCGAAACTTTTCCGTTTTCATAGATGAACATTTTGATGAAACGAATGTGAACAATTTGTGGACATATTACTCTCATGGTTTTCTACATGAAGACAATGTAACTCCAGCTAATATTCACTGCAATATCAAAAGAGGGTTTCGAGCCTTGCGAAATCACCTACTTCGCTTAGGGAACATAACTCAATTGCCAAGCGCATATTGTGCATCAACCATTTGTCTAGTTGTTTCTTCTTTAATCAGCTCATTCAATGTTCCCTCATAGAGAACGGGTCCATCTAAATATTGTTTGTAATACGGGTCGAAAACAGGCAATCCTATCAAGTTCATTGGGTATTTATTCGCAAATTGTATGCAACCTTAACGGTAATCTATACTCCTTAAAGCATTTGCCGTTGATATTCAAAGAAGCCTATGGTTCCATTCTTTTTATAAATCCGTCAGTTGTTCACTTGTTAGCTGACATGACAGCAGTACCGATAAGTTTCTAAACTGATCACCTCCGTGGGACTTTGACCTTTGGTGATTTGTATGGGCTTAGAGTAAGGTACAAGTTTTAATAATTGCCAGTGATTAGTGTGAAAACTAATGGCACCCAATAAAGCGAATTTTCGTGCTCAGAGGAAAAAACCTACCTTCACTGTTCGGATAAGATCACAGACTTTGTGCGTTGCTAGCAGTTGTCTAACGAGACGACCACGGAACACAGCCGCAAGCACCGTAAACCCACGAACGACACGAGGATCATTGCCCTGAATGAAAGGAAAAGGGATTGTTTATGCAAGCACCTTACAGGCAAAGAGTGTTGATTAACTGGTGTGACGTACTGACAGACGCTCTCACCTCAGGTCCTAAGATTAATTTTCTTTCTTCCACAGACAAGTTAGTAGCTACATCTGTCTTGGATAGAATTTCACTGCAACAGACATCTCAGAATAGTACCTATGAAATGTTTGAAACCAATTAACCCGGTTAACAGATCAGGTCCTCATCAATAAACAAAGTGAATACATTGTTTCGTGATACATTCAGATAGATTTTTGTGCTTTCAATCAACAACTGGGTAAGGTAACACGTAGGATGTTGATTTTCTTTCTTATTTTTCACTCACTTATTAACCACCGAATGCACCGCACCAATGGCTGAAACACGCGATGCAGACGAAAGTTCTAGGGAAACAGTGAGTGTATTCCAGGGAAAAATCAAAACAGCAAAATATATTTTACAAAACTCGGGTACTTACTAACAGAAACTACTGCTCTTCGTTTGATAGATTAGACCATGAAATATTGTCTACGTGTTGAGTGTACGATTAGAAAGAAAAAAATTCGTATGAAAACACCTTCGAAATCATGATTGTTCGGCCAAGTTGTTCTTTCAACTTCAAATGAGTTCACTTGTACGTGCCACTCGAAATCATCACACACTAGTATACCTGGGATTTACACCGTGGAAAGTAAAGTGGCGTAGATAAATGTACTTTTGACCACTTGAAATCTTCGAGTGCCTCTTAGCAGTATTACCCATTCCAGTTAGCTAAGACAGATGCTACGTCAATTATACGTTTGCTGCGCCATCAAAAAAACATGATACGTAACGCACAGCCATAGACAGGAAAAACATTCTTTATGATCTATACTCAAGCTTATACAGACTGTGCGTGATGCTTAAGCGATAGGTTGGTTTGAAGGTCATTTGGTCGATGAGCTCGGATCAAAGAATTGATGCAGTGGTATCAGGTTCCCTTCCTCCCTCTTTTCGGTTTGAGCACTACCCCAACCCAAAGGCAATCTTGATATCGGTTCAGAAGCAAACTGAACACGGACCAGTGACCATCAAAGTAACCAAAAAGATTAACAAAATAAGTTAGGAAACTTCTGGGAAACTAACCCCATAAGTCATACGAGCTCAGTTTCAACGATTACGGGGAAACTATTTCGCTCTTCCCACTCAGAGTGGTGTTGTCGATCGTTTTTACAAGATAGTTAACGCGCTTCAGCCAACGTGACTGATTAATTATGGGTCAGGATATTTGTCAANTACTGCGCAGAGAAGTTATCAAAGTGGGTTCTTTGTTGAACACAAATTTGGGAGTGAACAAATGAAATATTCTCACCGAACTCGAGTGAGCCATTTTGTATGATGAGAAATAATGACCAGAAAAAGCATTGAATGTTTCTATGACCTGACCGAGTGCAGAAACTGGAAGGAAAGACCCGATTACTCATTAAACGGGCTTATACTCTTTATTTTTTTCACTACAATGATCCCTATTGGTTGACTTGCACCAAATGGGTTGATACATCACACCGCTTTGTCAAAACTCTGATACAAAAAGTTACGCACCAATTTTACCCTGTTCAGTGAAAAAAATATCATGGTAGATTATAGCAGACACTTTATTCATATAAATTATGACGGATCGTCAAACAGCAAAGCATCTGATCGGAATATTGGTGGTAGCAAAGACCAGGGTTACATAAACAACTCGACAAGCGTAACACCAAAATGGGTAAACAAAGAGGAACTTACAAATCTGCGTTGTTTTATCAAACTTAGTGGACAGTTCTGACGATTTCCACAAGGACAGGCTCGATACGGTTGAATAGGGGATCGCTAAGCGAAAAAAAATTGGCAGCAGTAAGGTTTAGCATGTAAGGACTTATCATTCAATTACGTTGGTATTTAACCGAAATTTCAGAAAATTCATTGGAAGAACGAAATGGTTAACATCTAAACAAACATGAATTGGCAATTCAGTTCGGCACTGGCATAAGCTGGTTCGCAGTGGTAACAAATATGCCTTCCATGTGATGGGTCCGGAGTTCCATGCTCGGACGGGAGGGTGGATGTGTACTACCGATAAGCTCTAATAAGAGCGAAACACTAGTCTAGTGCTTCCGAGAGTATGATTAACTGGAAGAACTGAGGATTGTGAGTGAACGAGAACCAAAACCCAGGAAGATTTATATTGCAACAAAATTGTGCTGGGTTTCATTGTTTGTTTGAGTGACTGTTTGAAAGATATTTGCAAAAAGGCCATTCCAATTTAAATATGACCAGCGGTTTGTAAAACCATTGAGAATTCCTTGAACGAAAATTGCAACTTGAGGAACAAAATGGCAAGAATCGAGCTCGAGAACGAACTTACGTGTCGCAGTGGACTGAATGGTGGGGATATTTTGGTGCTATCCACAATTGGCATGGAAACACCTTGAAATGGAACACCACTTAATGGACACGGTTCCAAATCATTGTTTCTTTGACCCATTTCAGTAATAAGATGGTTACGGGCTGAACCAGACAATATTTGAGTAGTTGTCATACTTCCAGAAGAATTGAGAACCACAGGATACGAGGTAGCACAAAACGTGTGGGCTTCAGGTTCACAAACAGATGGATTATGCATACGATTATTGAGACGCATTAGTTCCAGGCGCCGTTTTTCTTGAACGTCTTGGATCTGGAGATATATTAACAAGGTAATGATTTGATTACTCTCATGTGCTATGAAATAAACGATCATATATAAATACTTTCTATTAGAAGTAAAAGGATATGCCAGAGCTATTGACAAAGCTACCCTGAATTTGATAAGGACCCACAGCATCGCAGCTTAGGAATTTTGAA